GATGACGATGGTGATGATGATGATGATGACGATGGTGATGATGATGATGATGGTGATGATGATGAGGAAGAGGAGGAGGAGGAGGATTATGATGATGATGATGAAATATATAGTGAGAATTCATGAACGACTCACCTGTTCGTCAAACGGGAACCACAGAATATCAATGTTACAGGTGGACTTAAACAGTCCAGGAGGCATCCACTGCACATTGCCCGTGTGTTGCATGATGGTATTGGTGGGAAAGGTGCGGTCGAATTTTTCGTCAGCACTAAAGTTTGCAAAAAAACAGAGCGTAAATCTTTGGTACTAGAAAGGGATGTCAAGATTCTCAACAACTTTCCCCCAGATTTAAAGGGCAATAGTTGGAAAAGCGCTCTCATACCCCCTCAACTTAACTGGGGAGATTTGGGCTAATCGGATGAGTTTTCAAACAATTCTATTTTGTACTTTGGGCGGACTGAATGCTCCAACCTTTCTAGGCGAGCTAAACTTGGGAGGGGAATCCGTGCAACAGCACCCTTATCGATTTTCTCCAGTAATCACGTGAGACAAGTTGAGCTACACGCAAAACCTTAAAAGTCAAATCGTTCAGACGAAATTTTATCAAAAATACCATAATCAAATGATGTAATTGGACAAACCTCAAATCATGGGACTACGCCGGTTTAGGAACTGCCAATTCAAAATGGCATCCTGTACAAACAGGTAGGGGTAAGAAATATTGCGCCCACGTCCGCAATGACTCAGGACGAGGTGTCAGAAGATGGCAGAACCCATTTCGTTGGTGTAAACTAGGCATGCGCTGACAAGGTCAAAGAGCTGTTTACCTTCAAGTCAAAACACTAAAGGGGGTGTAGACGGTTAACGGAAACAACACACCGAGGAGCCACCCCACCATATTCAAGTCATTGACAGGGAAGGTTAAACTAATTTACTAATTTAATAGATGAGGTATTTAATGACGCGCGCAATGACCTTTATTTGTCCGGTCACTGAGACGTGGTTTACTCAAGCTTTCTCATTTCTTGCAGTTCCTCTGAGGTCTCATGAGAGTTATCGAAAAACGTTGCAATTTAATCAAATAAAATGTGCAAGGCGCTGAATTCCGACTCCTGTTTGTTATTTAACGGGAGGGCTAGGTTTTATCCTCAAACGTCTTAGAAGATCCTTTATGACTGACCAAGCGGGTGGGTGTCGGCGTATCCGAAACGACGCAATTAGAAGGTGAGTTTTCGTTTGTGCAAAGGGTGCTTCCTTTGAAAAATGTGTCCAGCTCTAACATCTGCGTTGGTTTCGACATGTGTTGCATATGCCGAACCATCGTTTGCCGAAGAGAGTGCTGTTTTCCATGCTCAACGCTGAGTGGCGGAAGCAGAGAGGTGGCCAACCCTTGACTTGTCAGAGGAGTATGAGGGAGATCACGAAAGGTTTGTGTGCTCTCCTTGCTAATCACCTTCCAGGATGGGGACCGCGTAATCCTCACTGTGTCTGATTGGAGACACTGCAAGATAAACTTGCCAACCGACGTCAGTGGCATTCGTGTTGTCAGTTTCTATCCAGATTGCCTGGAAAAGTGTCTGGAGGTGTAGGCACCTTAAAATGCTTGTAGTAAGCTGGTATCAAGTCCCTTCACCTTCCAAATTTATTCATTTCTTCACAATAAGGCTTTCAAATAAATTATGGTTCTACGGCAGTGAAGATAAATTATGGCTCTACGGCAGTGAAGCATCGGTGTTGAACACTGATGTCATGCTGATGATGATGATGATGATGATGATGATGATGATGATGTAACGATAATGAAGCGGAAAGGAACATGACCCTACCTAATTTACCAGGAATATAAGAGACTTCTGCATTAAGGCCCGGGAATTAAGCTACTATGTAAAGATAGAAAAGCGCAATCATTCGGTCCTCTGAATATTCCTTCTCGTTCAGTCGATCTGTTCTACTAACCAATAACTCTTATTCGACCTTGAGCACACTGTTCTGTCCACCTGTCACTAAGAAGTGATCGGCGACACTTTTTCCCACATGAGATTAACAAGCTTTCATGTTGATGAGAATTCGGATGTAAATTTTCGTTAGACGATCGATATTTCATTTCACGCAAAGGAGACTTCAAGCTAGTGAAAACCAGGAGGAAGCATAATGCAGTTCCACAGCATATCACCCACATCACCTTTTCAACAATAGTGAGAAAAATTGTCTCGCCCCAAGAAACTTTGCGCATCAGCCGAGTATTTTGTTCATGTCATATCTGACTGCTGTTCCCGCTCCAGCGCCCAGCACCGGAAAAAGGCTCACAACAGGCTTATTCCGAACATGCGAGTGCAACCCTTACAAGAGACCTCACGCCATTTGATTTTTACTTTCATCGATCCCGGGCTTTTGCTGAATTGACTGAAAACTCGATTGGCCTGGATGTTTGCTGGCTTTCCTATTGAAATTTCGGTAGAGTTTTAGGGTCTCACTTGGTTCCGAGCGTTCTGAGTTGCTTTCAGGAATCTGACCTTCCTGAAAGTTCACCTTTCACAGGGTACCAGCCCTTTAAACTCTGCCTGCCTACCACGTACTGTTGGCATATTTCATTTTAGGTTTAACTTCCTAGTTATTGTATCCAATAGAGTGTCAACCTCGACTGTGTTCAATGCCACCAGGGTATAGACAATAGACAAGGTTGACAAATGACGTATGGTGCTTCAGCAAGAGCTTATTCCACCTGCATCTCAGCGGAGGTTTGAAAACTTTTGACTACTGACAAACTATAAGTAGCAAATTATAAGCGAGAAGAACCCTCTCGTAATTGGAGGAATCACTCAGAGCCGGACCCACTGATGCGAAAATCGTGATTAGATATAAAAGGCTGCTTTGCGATATTTTTATCTGAGCAGGTGAATATTATAGCGTTTATCTTCTAACCGGAAGAATGCTGACTCAATCTTCTCTTGTGATTCGTGGGTTTCGCAGTTCCAGTGATTAGAAGGCCTTAAAGTGCTTGCCAGCTTTTCAGCATTGGCGGACCTTATCTGTAGGACGAAGTGTCCACTGGAACTTCAAAACCAACTCAGCCGTCATTATAAGCACTCTCTTCCATCCAAGCAAGTGTGGTATTAGGAGGACCAGCTCCGGAAATAACGGGACTACATACCAGCCAATGGAATAACCGTTTTCGTTGAGACAGATTTGATTGGCTGTTCTTCACTCGCCCTTGACAGATGAGTTGTACTCTCATTATCACATTTTTAACCCGATTGTGCGCGACAGTGATCAACAGATCAGCCGGTTCGCACGTCCACTGACTTTTTCTGGTTTGGCCAAACGCTATCCAGACCAGGGTTCACGATAATAAAAAGGCATTAAGGAAACTGTGGTTCACAACGTGTGGGGTCATCTGTTCCAACGCCACCCATCGCCGGTTTATTTTTGGGTAAATCAGAAGACTAGAGATCTACCAACCCCATCAGTTTGAACCCGCCGTCACGTGATCAATCGATTCAACTGCTCGGTTGAAAGAAATCCCAGAAAATTTGGGATTCGTGCTGACTTGATCCGAACCAGCAGAATACCAGTTAGCTCGGTATACTTCCTGTTACGCCAATAGCTTTCGCCGAATGTATTATGCTCGGCATTACGGAATTCCACACTTTCTTGGTCCACTTTCACTCCTTACCTTTAACCTCAGTCCTACTAAGCCGGCACAATCGCGTCAGATCTTCTGTCCTCCAGAGGCAGAGTACTTTAGGTTGTCGTTCTACTAATATATAGTTCAGTAGTGTGGCGTTTTCCAAAAAAGCCTTTCGGAAGAGGAAGGCTCCTTTTAGGTGTCCTACCATCAGGAGATAACTGGAGTTCACCCGTTAATTGCGACAAAATACAGGCGCGGGTTCAATTCAGAGGTCTGTCTACAGAAAGCCCACGTGGACGGGACAGTACACAAACTTCCTGAGCTTTGTGCCACTGATTCAAACTTTAATGAACCGATCAAAACGTATTTGCTTTGCGGATACACTGGAATCCGAGCTGTAGCACATTGATAACGTGCTACGTGTTATAAACCCGGAGAGGTTTATAACCAAGAATATGTCCGACCACCCTATCCAACCGCCTATCACGACCGTTGGAAAGAAGCCAATATACTCGAGTCTGCCGTATAGAGGCGATCTGTTGACGGACATAGTCAATCGCCGCTTGTTTCAATCCCCACAACGCACGTTTCTCGCTGAAACCCTGTGGTCTTGGTTTACAACAAACCCTTTGCTCAACTTCAACGACCTCAAAGACAAGATGCCAGTCCTCATTCAGGATATGGTTGTGTATTCTTTCTCCTGCTGTTGTCCAGTGGAGTATGTTGGGCGCACGACACAGCAACTTTCTAAGAGAATACGTGAGCACCACTCTTACCGGAATAACACTAGCTTCAACAGTACAGCCAGGAGCTTAATTGCATCCCACCTAATCATGCCAGATGAGTCATCTCAAATCATTTACCGTGTGCCAAATAGACAGCCAGTATCTATTCAACGGCGTTGCTTGACTACAGCCGAGGCAGTCGCTATACGCCCGTGAAACCCGGTACTGTGCTGCCAAAAGCGTTTCGTACGAACGCTGAGTCTGCCTTGGTCGTGTGACACGAATCAATCGGCCAAGTCACTCAACAGCCTTCTTGACTGTCTCACAGCATCCAACTAGATGCGACATGGCGGTGGGGGGGGGGCAGACAACCAATCCACGTTTTGCATTTCACTAACCAATCTTCGTAGAGTATTTCGTTTTTCGCTCCTATTCTAACCAGTAGATACGTACTGACCTGATGACGAGATCCCGAAAACATTAATGTTCGTCGCTCTGTTCTTTTTTCAAGCCATGGGGATATTTAGGCAAAATACAGGCAGTTGTCTTCGACCCACATGCTTCAAGATAAAAGAGAACTCCCAAATTCTGCAAAACATCGAACCAAGCAAGTTATCACATTTGAAAATCACACTATCACAGTTGTTCGTTTGCCGAATTATTTGGCAACATTCTGCCATCTGGAGACATATTTTGTCTCTCTGTGAACCGCAATAATTGTTCTTTGTCTGGGAATGGTCCTTTTAAGAAAAGAAAAAAATATCACGAGAACTAAAGATTCGTCTTGTTTTGTTCTACGCGCGGTCAAGATGATCCAGTCACTTACTTGGCAAACGCTGAAAAAAGCGTTACCCTTCCAAGGCGCTTATTACCTAAATATTTGTTTCCCTTTCGACGAGGTAAAAAAACGGACGTACCTCCGTACAATGATCATGTGTTCCAAAGAACTGCATTCTGTCATCAGAATGGAAAACTGAAAGGAAACGCTAATGGCTTCAAAGACTCGAAAATCCTGATACGTCGGTCAATCGGTCGTCACAACCCGTCGTTCATGAAATCTGTCTTATCGATTACATCGCTCAGGCCTGTTCAGACGTGAAAATTCAGATGCGTCTGGCATGCGCTGGTGGAGTAGTGGTAACATGCTCGCCTCGCATGTCAGATGTCCGGAGTTCAAATCCCGGGTACGGCCATTGGATATGCACTGCTGGTGGGCTCTAATGAAAGCGAAACTCGAGTCCAGTGCTTCCCTTTGGTGTGGACTAACCAAAGTGAGCTCTAATGAGAGCCCTTTGGTGGAACCTCATTAGAAAGATAGGATGGATGTTCAAACGACAGTGATGTGAACGTGAATCCTGCAAACACCGACAACAAAAATTCAACTAAAGTTGGTGAAGAACGGTCGAAAAACAGTCGCCGCCCACAAACTGACATTCCTAAGGACTGCTTACACCGTCGTTTATCTGGGATCCATGAAGGTTGTTCATACTGGTGATGTTTCGGTTAAACTGACGTTCATCGATTTACATAGCCTCAAAGAAGTGATCTCCACATCCATCTGGTTCACGTTGCAGCAGACTTATGCACCCAGACGGGTTTGATTAACAAACATGAAAGCTTGAAATACGCGCAAAAATGTTTCCGTGAGGCTAAACGTGCTCACAAGCCAGAAGAATCCTCCTTAATGGAGAAATAACCGTCTGTTTTTCCAATGAACTCAATCGTTTCAGGGGTGCTACAAGCTGGCATCATTACCACCCCAACGCGGACCATGGATGTTCTTGAAGTAAGTGAACTTGATAAATACGATTACCAGGTGTAGAAAAATGACCACTGGGTAGGACCGACCATCGGACAGACCATCGGTTGTTGATCAGGTGGCTGTTAGTCTGTTCGCCGAGCTTGGCTATTGGCTGGCAAGCATTTCGCCACCGTACGAGGAGACAGTGCGCAGTTGATTCGGTACTTCTTTCTTGCCTGCATGCGTCTATATAGCATTCGAAGGCTATCTGTTATATTCTGACGTGATTGGTTAATTGAAGCGTAACAAATTTAGTGAATCTATTGGTCCATTAGTGATCTTTGTTGCGTTGTGGTCTGCGTTCCCTTGTGATGATTGGTCATCTCAACGACTTCTATTTTTAATAGCTTGTCACATGTTACTGACCTGTTTGTTCTCTTTTCTGTCACGACTAACCTCACGGTCGAATGGTGCCAGTATGGAGGTGTACCACCTGTTTCCATCAAAATCATGCCGAGGAATGAAAACTTGTCATCGTTATATGTGAAATCTTCGCGAACAGTAATCATACTATACTCACCAATTGTACAACAGAATGTCCGGTCTCCATACAGCTGTGTAAGGCAAGTTGATCACGGTGATGTTCCCGTACTCCTGGGGGTTCCATTTGAAATGATAATCGTCCCAACTCTTTGTTGACGGGGAAAAAAGGGAAACGGATCAATACGTTTTTCGTGACAATCTGTTTCAATTTTTGACCCACATACGAAATCTCATCTGGAAGGTAGACAACTGACGTTTTTTAGTTTTCCTACCACCAGCTAATGAGGACATTGGAAGTGCAGACTAACTTCGCTCCAGACAGTAACACTCCGCTGGGGAGAAAACGTTGTAAACTGACAACGGATTTGAACCAAAAAGCGCGTAGAACAAACGATCCGGACATTTAGGGCGTTCAGTATTCACACAATGGAAATGAATTTTCGGAAGTTATGATATGTCCCTGATGGAATAAAGCGGTCAGAGTATCAGTCGAAACTTTTGAGCCCCATTTAGGCATCTCGGGGTCTCAGCATGATGGGAAATTGGAATAAAGCGGTCAGAGTATCAGTCGAAACTTTTGAGCCCCATTTAGGCATCTCGGGGTCTCAGCAGTGCTGGGAAATTATTCCACCAAACTTTTCCGCCAGAGTTATGATTGCTTCAGTGGACAATAATAAATTTGGTGAGCTGCAAAAATATGAATTTAGATTAAGATGGTTTTTGGTTTGAGCACATACACAACAAAACGCAACATTTTGGCGGGAAAAGTTTCACTCCACTCGTAAAGGTTTTGCAGTTGAGAGCATTGTGCGACTAACGCCCCCTCCCAACTTCAATATACCTGTAAGCGAGGTTGTAGCCACCCAGTCACCCACAATCTCAACTGCTCAGCTCACAGTCGCTCACTGGATCACGAGGCTTGTCTTTTTTATACTCACAAATCACGTCACATTATGGTGACTCATCGGATATCGATTGTCTACACCGTCTAGTGAGCGTAGCAACAACTCATGTGCTGACGCGCCCACGTACACGCAAACGGACTTACACGTAGGGAAACCGAACACGATCAGCACACACAGGCTCACCCGTGCGCAGGGAGCAGGACGTCAACCTCTCCACAAGTCCACGGACAATTATGGAACACGGGTAACAGTCGCACCGCGGAGCAATACACGTTCCCGCCGTCCGGACTTTCACCAAGGAACTCTTTTGACTTGTTCCCATTTCGCAGTGTATTTATTTTTATACGTGTTGCAACCCACCACTGTCAACCACGCTAAAAACTTTCATTAGTGCGCACACCTGATTTATGTTATGGCCATCCTCAACAGTGCACTAATAAAGTCAATTTTCGGTAAACATTTGAGAAGCACTGTGCAGTTGTTTCATTCCTATCGAGACACATCATCAGTGTGCCTCTCTCAAAACTTTAGGGAGTCACGAATCCGTGACCCCACGGCTAGAAGTTGGAGCACTTAACGTTCGGTTATGAATGCCTGATCAGTAGTGTGATTAGTCCTCACATAGACCGCCTTCCCCCTCTAGTGTATAAGTGTCGCCAACGCGTAACACAACATATTTATTACAAACAAACGAGTACAAAAGTCATAAGGGGTCTAGCGGTATCTGAAGTGCACTTTCGAAATGATCCAGGCTTTTGATTGGCGTTTTGTGAACACCCATCACCATCGATCGTGCTTCTCGGAAATGTCTGAACACTGGTCATCGTAGGCTGTGCTTCTGTGGCGTTCTAGAACACGCACCTCCCGGTCATCGAGTTCGCCAGCTTATTTACTTTCCTCCTGGTTTTCTGTAGATAACTTACAAGCCCTACAGCGCACGGCGGTTACAGGCGTCCATGGACAAAGGAAATGCACCTTTGACACTACGATCTTGCTTCCGTATCGACTGAAGCATAGGACAGATGGTTACAAGTTGGTTGCGATTTCAACTTCTGTGGAAGCACGACAGCTGCTGGACTGAGAAAACATAGCGGGTGTTGATGATTACATCATTCTCACCGCTACGATCATTCGGAAGGTGCTGGGGGTAGTGTTCCAGAAAGAAGAAGAAACGCTGTGTTTACTAGTGATGCGATTGAACGATTTCTCCCGCGTGAAAAGACGAAGGTTTGTGTGTATGAAATTGTATTAAAACTAAACAAATATGAATTAATTGCATAATGTTTTCAAGCAAATGAATATGCTGCTTAAAAACATCATGAAAGAGTGATTCAGGTGAGTTTCAGGTGAGTCTCCCATCAAAACTAAATTCACATGCAAGTAAGTATACCTCGCTAGTTCTCTGCAACTTGAGTTCAAGTAGAACATACGGTGTACGTAAACTTGAGGAGTGCGTCCACCGGATGAGCTTTAATTAGGGAGGAACTGGTCGTGGGCCGTCGAAGAGTTTTCAGCAACCTTATGAGTAGTGCATCACGTCTATACATGTATCGCGACATATCGAACATCGTGTCAGCTGGAACATGAGGCGGTCTGGTGCAGCGCATTCAGTTGCTTAAAAAGATCTTATACGAGAGGATTGGCTACGCTCCAGGTGAGTCTCCCATCAAAACCAAAATGATATGCAAATGAGTGAGACTGTGAAGTGGGACTCACAGTGAACCCATCATAATCTTTCGTTTATGATGTACTTCTTCAACTGAATATGCTGCACCGGGTCACTTCATGTTTCCGTGGATACGATATTCGAGATGTCGCGATGCATTGTAAGGACGTAACATACTACTGATGCAGTTGCTGAAAACTTTTCGATGGCTCACGATTGGCTTCCCCCTTCTTGAGACATTCTTGGTGATCCCCGGGAAGGACGAAAGCGGTAGTAAGATGTCGAGAAGTTTTCAGCAACGTTATCAGTAGTGTATGACGTCTATCCAATCTTTAAAGTACTTGTTTTGAACTAGAGGAGCTCAATCTCCGAACCGGTCCCAAATCCCTGGAAGCCATTTCCTTCAATCTAATCCTTCAGTCTAATCCTTACTTACCTACGCTTACAAAGAACCAAGAAGCTCTCAGCCAACACCTAACACTAATTAAGCCTACTATCAATTGAATATGTTGCTTATTATCGAGAAATACACTCATTTGCAAATCAATTTGGTTTTCACGAGAGACTCAACTGAATCTCTCGTTTATGATATTCTACAACTGAATGTGCTGTACACAAGCCGCCTCATGTTTCAGTTGGCACGATGTTCGAGATATCGCAGGATGGCTCCGTAAAGGAAACTACTCAATAAGCTGCCCGATACTGTTTGCGAGGAGACCGTCGTTGAATTTTCATTCTAGAATCACTTGATCCCCGAGTCCCAGTTTACTTCATTTGAGTAGATGGCCAAGTTGGGTTGACGGGAACTCGTGGACTGCGCCTACCTGATGAGCCCAAAGCAGAAGGGCGAAACCGGTCGTGGGCTGTCGAAGAGTTTTCAGCAACCTTGTGAGTAGTTTCCTTTCATGTGAACCTACACCCACCTTGTGAATAAGTCACTCAACATGACGAATTTCGTGTGTCAGAAGCACAGCAATTAATCTATCGATTATCTTTCGAACTTTTCTGGAAACCATGTTTGGTTCTGATCAACTTCATGTTGTGACCCAGCGGGCAGGAATGTTAGGTGTGCCCATATCTGTCATTTTTGATTGATGGAGTTATTTGCTTGTTCTCCCTGACATGTGTAAACTTTACGTTTTTCAGTGAACATTTGCTGATGATTGATGATGGACAATGGATTTCCGTGTCAAACAGAAAGCTGTCTTAATGGACTTTTCACGGGAAGTTCTCGCCTGAATTCACCACATCCAGTGGTGTCCGACAGGGCTGTCCTCTTTCACCTTCCTCTTCAACTTCGTCATTGATGTGATTATGGAAGACTCACCAGCAGCCCCTAATGCCTGTGGGGTCGAAGTGCTCCCGGGGCTTCCGCTCACAGATATCGAGTACGCAGAAGACATAGCTCTTCTCGGATCTGACCCCGTCGCCATGCGAACAATATTACATAATCTAAATAACTCGGCTTCACAGTTTGGCATGTGCTTCACACCTGCAAGATGTAAACTGCTACTGCAAGACTGGGTGGGCTCGAACCCTAACCTCATACTTGCGGATGAACCGGTTGAGGTAGCAGACAAATCTGTTTACCTGGGCAGCTGTATCGGTCCCGGTGATCTCTCGCGAAAAATGATATTTTCATCCGGATTAGGAAGGCCAGAGCAGCATTCTTGAACCTGCGTTACCTGTGACGTCGGCGTGACACCAGCGTATCCGTCAGGAGTGGAGTCTACAATGCTACGCTGCGCTCCATATTACTATACGGATCAGAAACCTGGCCGCTGCGCGCCGAGGACGTCAAAAAACTTTCTTTCAGTGGTTGATCATCGATTTCGTCGGAGCATTACCCGAATCTGGTGGGAACACCGGTCCAAATCGACTGTGCGCAAAGGACTAAACATTTGTCATTGTTTTTCTCAGCTTTGAGGCCTAGTTCTTAGAACATTTGGAAATCACGTTGCTGATTGTAGATAAACGGTTCAGTCGTCAAATGTCAGCCGGGAGGTCGTGAACCCGATTCATTCTGGAGACACTTGAGATGCGCACCGTCGGTTGGCAGTGTTTGACTTCACCTACATGAGAGAACCTCGATTGACACCTAGGAACTCCTGAAAAACAGCAGTCAGATGGGCGGCCGTCTATCTCGTTTGTGCGCACGGCACATGTCAGTAAAACGAGCTGCTTTGAAAGTGAAGCATCTGTAGGATGTCGTTTTCAGGAAACGAGCCAATATTTTTCTTTTGTCGCCACTGGATTTTGAGTGCATTGGAGCACAAAGAGTCGATAACAACCAGGTGAGTAGATCCTCAACTAGGAGAGGTGTTTCATTCACACAGATTATATGCTCCGGGAAGTTTGGCAGCCATGTTACGAGGGAAAAATTTGAACCTGTTCGGTAACGGGATCACTTTCATGACAAACTGTAATTTTTTATAAATGAATCGTCTTCGTGTCCATTATCTCATTGTTATATCGGTTAGACATGGCGTCTGCGGATAGAAGATGTAAGGTATCTCCAGGCGTCTGATCACCGACAACTCATGAAGCGTCAGTGGTGTCATGTGATGCTGGTGGATTCGTAGACAGGTAATTAGAAAACGGATATCCGATTGTGCTTCCTGCATGCCAATAGTGGACAATATCCGGCAATATCAACTGCAGTAGCTCGGCTAGATGCTGCGCAGGCCGAAACATCGTCTAATGCGGCCAGTGTTGTTTTCCATGCCTCCTTCAGAATGCCTCAAACTGCGAGCTGGATAACGTGTCATTAGAAAGAAGGGTGTTAAAGAGACGATGATGATGATGAGGACGATGATGATGGTGATGATGAGGATGATGATGGAGGATCTAGGAAGGATGACTAGGGGTGGTCTAAAATTGTAGCTTTAAAAAACAGAAACATCAAAATCCCCGGTTTCGAACTTTTGGCTGACTCAAAGCAGTATACTGATCCCGAATCGGATTTCGACGTCATCAGAAACGGAAAAAAATAGGCATGAATCCCAGTCACAACCGGCGCAGATAAAATCAACTTGTTTGAATTTGATCGTCACACTGGTCCAGTCAATGTCTGATGATCTAAACTGATCAACCGGGATTTTATTGTACGCCAACGCCTAGCAGGCTCACCCAACAATTATCGGTCCGGATCACCGGTTTACTTTATTCGTAACCAACGGATCGATAATAGCGTTCTTTTTCCGTCCTTTTCCCATGTATTAGGATGACAAATGATCCTATTCGACGTTCAAACCAAGGAGCAATATTCAGGGAGTAACAATCTAATGAGTCCCACTCGTATGTGCTGACAGTGTGATCAGGTGATAACTTTCAAAAGGATGAATAACTCACACAGCCCCCCGTTTGAGTAGTGATTGGTCGAGAAATCCCTCAACACGTGACCACGCGATCGGAATTTCATGACTAATGAATGAGCGGCATTATGCCCTGTCAAAGTGGGAGGCAGCCAGACCATTGATCAGCCAGTCTTGATTGAACGGCTTACACACCAACTACTAGGCGGGATGCCAACACGTGACCACGTGATCCGAATTGCATGACTAATGCATGAGTGGCATTATACCCTGACAAAGTGCGAGGCAATCAGACTATTGATCAGCCGGTCGTGATCGAACAGTTCACACACCAACCACAAGGCGGGATGTCGCGCTTTCCAATCTCCCTTGATATACGTGAGATGCGATAAGCACTGTTTAGGATCCTCAGTGAGGATGAAACAAGTGTCCGATTCATCTAAGCGGCAAATATTNTTGGCAAATATTTTTTCATGTCCAATTGATCGGCATTCCATTATACTTGATGTATTATGTGAAACAGGACGAAACGAATGGGAATCCATTATTCAAATCTATGAATTCTATTGACAAAAGTCTTTGAAGTGAAGTGTTTTGGCAAAAAGTCTTCAGAAATGAGTCAATTAAAGTACATCATCCTCATGCTTTGTGAAATCATTGGAAATTCTGTTTGACAAGTGAAATTGTGCAAAGGTCAAAGAGCCCTTAGACACCCATTACCAGAAGTTGGAATTTGGCAAGCAAATTTGCGCGCATCGATTCCACTCTGGAATTTCTTTAGATTTTTCCCATCATCACGCTAAGTACGTGGTTACTGATCACCGCCTGGTGTAGTTTTGTGCCCTACACAGCGCGCAAATGTTATATTTGGAAAATGTCAACACTTAAGCCGTTTGTACCCCTCTGTGGAGTGGCATGCACCCGTGCCCAACTGACATTATGTATTCAGAGTTTCGTTTGTCACTGAAGAATTTTTTCTGGGGGTTCAACAAAACCCATTTGTAATTGACAGTGTAGTAACACTCTTGTTGCTTTACAGTTGGAAGTAACCGTGGGGAAAACACGCAGCAGCTGACTAGATGAATGTCTGCACGGCCGATAAGTGCCACGCCAACTGTTACACCTTTTCTAGCCAATTTTCTGGTGAACAATCAAGATGAAGAAAACAACAACAACAACAACAACGAATATTCCATTGCTTTGTGAAAAAAATTAAATGTTTGCGGTGCAGAGTTTGTCATGTTAGTGAAGAGAGTCTCCGTGAAAAATACGAGAAGCACTGTGCAGCTGTTACATTCTTAGTAGAAATGTACGCATCTGAAGGGATTACACCAGGGTGGAGTGAGGTAGAGGGAGTTTAGCGAACGTCTAATTATAATGCTACGTCAAAATATCTATATCAACAATCTATCTATCTATCTATCTATCTATCTATCTATCTATCTATCTATCTATCTATCTATCTATCTATCTATCTATCTATCTATCTATCTATCTATCTATCTATCTATCTATCTATCTATCTATCTATCTATCTATCTATCTATCTATCTATCTATCTATCTATCTATCTATCTATCTATCTATCTATCTATCTATCTATCTATCTATCTATCTATCTATCTATCTATCTATCTATCTATCTATCTATCTATCTATCTATCTATCTATCTATCTATCTATCTATCTATCTATCTATCTATCTATCTATCTATCTATCTATCTATCTATCTATCTATCTATCTATCTATCTATCTATCTATCTATCTATCTATCTATCTATCTATCTATCTATCTATCTATCTATCTATCTATCTATCTATCTATCTATCTATCTATCTATCTATCTATCTATCTATCTATCTATCTATCTATCTATCTATCTATCTATCTATCTATCTATCTATCTATCTATCTATCTATCTATCTATCTATCTATCTATCTATCTATCTATCTATCTATCTATCTATCTATCTATCTATCTATCTATCTATCTATCTATCTATCTATCTATCTATCTATCTATCTATCTATCTATCTATCTATCTATCTATCTATCTATCTATCTATCTGGCCGTCTTGCTGTCTGTGAATCAAGTTTTTACTTAATCTGGTCGTATCTTTTTCAGGCCAGACAATACTTACTTTAAAGTGCAATCCTTTGAACTCACTAGGTCTCGTACGAGGAAGCCCTTACTCGGTCTTCCCAGTTCAGATTACTAAATTCTTTCTCCCTTGGCCCCCCAACTACACCTTCTTCTTGAAGAGCACATGAAAGAAGCACAACACATCAAGTTGATACCAAAAAAATGAAACAGTTCCATTCCTCGGTTCTCCTAGAACCGATTACAAAACCAGCTAATTTACGTAGAAAACATGTCTAGATATACTGCTGGACTTTGCCGGCTAGCCTTTAAACCATCTCACTTGATTCAGACATCCAAATGATAACTATTGATTTTTGTTATTTGAAAACCATCGATGGGGCAAGCGCTTCTGGGTTTAGCCCTTGCTGTTGAATATAGAACCAGTGTTCGCGCCAACCAATGGCCTTTCGAAATGCAATCATTCTTCAAAGGAGGAGGTTTCAGCAGACACGTAAGCAGCGGCAGCAGACACACCCCTCTAGTACGAACCATCAGATGCCTTACTCCTCGTGATCATCCTTAACTAAAGTTTTTCTTTGAATTATTGTGTAAGTAGAGTACTTTAAAACCAGTCATCTATGACTGTCTTTGCCAAACTTCTGGGAACCGGCGAAGCAAAGTGGAAGATTGCCAGTAGTGGCGAACGTCTGACTGATCCGCTTGCACGTAAACTGGATCAAAAAACGAACTAAGCAAGATCACTATGGCTGCTTTTTTTGCAGTTTACAATCTTGGTGTGTACCGGAGACGTCGGGATCTAGGGGTACTTGATGAGTCCACAGAAGGTCAAAACCCATAGCTTTCTGTGGATGTTTTTAGTAGCACTGGGAGATGTCGGTTTAATTTTGAGGGTTTAAACATCCTGAGTGCCTCGTACTGCAGCACAGACTGTATCCTGTCCCTCAGGTTCTATTCTTTGGCCTCAAAGAAGCGTCCGTACTCTCAAATGTGAACCATCCACTTTCAAATCATCTGGAGTAGCCAGTCATCTCACAGTAGAAAAACAGCCCAAAAAATGCAGAGATAACAAGTTCAACTTCGCTGAGACGTCATTTAAACAAGATCAGTGTTAGTTTTTGCAGTAGCAGTCTTCTGGTTCGGAAAAGGCAGATCTAGTGTAAAAGTAAAGTACTAAATCAGCACAAGATAGTGGTTCCATCATTGAAATCATCGGTAGTGTGTACATCTTGGCTTTCCTGTGTAGACTGGTTTCATGGCAGGATGAAATCGCTGCAGAGCATAGCCAAATCTTCACAGATTACCACACACCAATAAGCAGCTCAGAGGAAGGATATTTTCACTGGATTTGTGAAACTTCCTTCTGATAAGTTGTCACTCGAGCAGCCGGTCAATACGTGATCACGTGACGTGGTTTCCGTGATTGAAGGATGAGTGGCGCTATGTTCTGTCTGAGAGCTAATCACACTGCTGATCAGCCAATCGTGGCCAAACGATTGATTGTTCAACAACTGACCGGAAGTTTTCGGGTTTCATGAGATACATACTACCGATGATTCCCCACAAGGATGAAACGGTATAGACTGGCTTCACTGACAAGATGAAATCTCTATTGATTTTACGTAAATATTGGTGACCTTGGTAAACCTTGCTTACTAGGTTTTGTCTCATGAACTGCCATTCAGTTGTAGAATATCATAAACGAGAGATTCAGTTGAGTCTCTCGTGCAAACCAAATTGATTTGCAAATCAGTGTGTTTCTCAAAAACAGTCCAAGTAGAACATGAGGCTGACGGAAACTCGGGGACTGCGCCTACCTGATGAGCCCAAAGCAGAAGGACGAAACCGGTCGTGGGCTGTTGAAGAGTTTTCAGCAACCTTGTGAGTAGTTTCCCTTATGAAAACGGCCATTCTGTTTCCATCCACAGAAAGGAATTGTCGCGAACCCCTAACTTCAGAGAATTATTGCCCTCTGGTGCAACCATAAAACGTTTTAAAATGTAATTCAAAAATGCATGTCGCATTAAACCAGGTCAGGCATATTCAAGGACATCATTATCCTGGAAAATTCAAAATTTCCGCACTTACCATATCCATCCAGATAATTGTTGTGAGGACTTGATTTTTCTCGTCCTGAAATTAGGACAAAAAGTTGATTGAGGAGGAAAATCTAACAATGATGAGATATCACTTTTTGAGTGAACCACATGGAACAAGTGCACCAGAAATACTCTTCATTTGTCAACCTCTGGGAGTCACATAGAGTTTGAAACAGAGTCATCTGACTAACATCTCACAGGGACAATGTGATTATAGAATATTCGAAAAACAAAAAAGCCGATAATAATTACGCGGGGTGAGTCGACCAGCTGGGCATTTTTGGGCGTCAACCACTGCTCTGCACGTACAAGCTACATGGAGCCAGCGATTAAGGGCCAAATGCGAGAAAAGAGCACCTGTCACAGGGACCTTTTGAAACAGGCCGTTCAGTGCACCTTCCCGAGGGCACTGACCAGATAACGTGTGTCCCAATCGTACATGGTATTGTCCGGAATTGTTCACCGCATAAAATATGAAATATGTTTCCACATGCTTGTATATATTCCCCATAGTGCAGCAATCCCCGTATGGAGAATGAATTGTCCCATCATCATCATCATCATCATCATCATCATCATCATCATCATCATCATCATCATCATCATCATCATCATCATCATCATCATCGTTATCCTCATCATCATCATCATCCTCATCATCATCGTCATCATCATCATCATCATCATCGTCATCGACATCATGACATCAGTCTTCAACACCGATGCTTCACTGTCGTAGTTTTGAATGTCGTGATTGTACGAGAACTGGGATACCGCCAAATCACTCACACATTGACGGAAGGTCGACTGGTGTCCTCACTCGAAGCCTTTTGTCTCAAAACCTGAACGCAAAGCATGAAATGCAAGTACATTGCGTTATTCACGAAATGCGTCGCCAAACATGTCCAAACCGCCAACCTGGCGGGCCAGGAAACTGTGTTCGTCAGACCTCTAACCATTGTCCAACCTGGTATGAGAGTCTCTGCGGACACCCCCTCCCCCCGGTATAGCTCAATGGATCTCCGAGGCAATCATTTTCCACAGAAGAATGACTTCGTCCTCAGAGAAGCCTCATCATTATTCCTTGTTGCTTCCGCTGGTACCCGTTGATTTGTTTGCTTAACTTAGTAACTGGCTTACAAGTGTTTTGTTACCAATCGAAGAGATCTCATCACCTCGCTCGAGTACTTCCGGCAAACTATCCGCCAAGGTTGGTCCTTCGCTAAACAGGCTTGCCTTTGAAGAAACCCAACCTTGTCTGTCGGTGTCCGATTCTGAAGCAATGGTTAGGATACCACGACAGTTGCCAATTATTGGGCGTGAACGTCACTCCAGATATGAAGTTTCCATTCGAAGTTTAATAACTTATGAGTGTGTCACATGACCGTCATGAATAGTGGAGTAACTAAGTGAAAACGTGTGACGAATTTCAACGTTTACATACTAGAATAGGTCAACCTGGCTTCTCCCTGGGAAATTTCTGTGCAGGGTCGGGATACGTTGAAATGTTCCCAGCATTTAAGTGTACTGGATTATGTCGACTGCTTTCAAGTCACGTGTTCAATAGTTAATGATGAAAGGTGTTCATATACGCGCTCAGTTTCACATTCCGACTGAGCCAAAAAGATTGATTGGGGAATTCGAAAATACCACATTTTATCGATCGACTCACCCAGTTAGATGAATCCCTGAATTTATTTGTAGTGAACACAAACTGGTCATTGTGCATCTCTGTCCGACTTGCTTCCGGAAACCACTTGTGCATAGATCCCCCTGTGGTGGTCAAACGCGTGTAGCTCGCTCCTCCGTTTAAGGCGAAGTTGATTCGAAGTTTGTTTACAAAAAGGCTAAGGAATATTACGGAATAAACTGTCGAAGTCTGCCAATAGCTTTGGGTTCTTGCGTCGAGCATCACCGTGTAATGTGAAAACAGTCCCATCTAGATGGCATAGGAGAACCAGCTCCGAACGTAACGGGACTACATAACAGCCAATGGAATAACCGTTTTCGTTGAGACAGATTTGATTGGTTGTTCTTCACTCGCCCTTGACAGATGAGTTGTATTCTTAGTATCACTTTTGTTTTGACCCACTTGTACGCAACAGCGATCAACAGATCAGCCGGTTCACACGTTCACTGACGTTTCTGGGTTGGCCAAGTGCACCAGGCTATCAATCGCCTATCCAGACCGGGGTTCACGGTAATAAAAAGGCATTAAAGAGACTGTGTTCCACAATGGATGGACTGTGGGCTGCTCTACCGCAGAACGCTTGGTCTGGACAGATCACCCGGCAAGAAAACCTCATACACAGGAAATACAACCGCGATATGAGGTCCAAAATACACCGATTACCAAGACCGTTGAAATTCGATCATGCAATCCGGAGGTCTCCGAAAAGCTGCAGTGACCTGCGGACTTGTGTTGACCTGCAACTGGTTCACCCGGACCTTCAGACTGACAGTGACTTTATTCGGTTTTACGGAGTGACGGCGATTAGTTTACTAATCCTCCTTAAATCTGCTCTCTCCTCGTGGGAGTTTGCGCGTAACTCAAAATACATGCGACTACGGATTAGTTCCACAAACATTCGTGTTAATTTCTGCGTGAATCGACATCTCGGAGAGGAACTGGAATTTATGAATGCCGTGGATAGTCGAACAGAACTATACTGCAAGCTGTGTGTCGTAAAGACATCAGGAACAGCCAGATATTAGTTTTGGGAAGCTTCGAGTTATAACGCCGGAGACGAAATCTCAACAGGTGGTTGAGTGGAAACGAATTATGTCATCCAGTAGACAATTCACGAGGAGAGCGAGGGTTTTGAACTGACAAGTTATACCGAATGGGTGACCTTCTCACTTCATGGAACCGTGAAACCGATGCCAAAAAGCATTGGGTAAAGAAAAACTCGTCTGTCTAAGCATTATGAATGAAATTTTTGAAAACGTGGCAACGATTGATATTGGCAGCTCGCGCGGGTTGATTAGATGATTGTAAGTGGCAGTTAATTTGTCGAAGCGAGAAGATCCAATGAAATATCAGAAAGGTAGCCACTGGACCGGTTAACTGAAACAAAAACGGTAGACGGACCAATGAAAACGAAGAAGGAGAACTACTGAAATTAGAAGTTGTATAATTGATCAATCGTCTGGTGCGAAGACTGGTTGAAAGAGAATGCACAAGAAAAGCACAATGGGTCAGTCGTATCGAAGGTATAGAACTACCAAAGTGGAGCTGTTGAGTGAACCAAGCAGATGCGTCGGGTGACCCTTCTGAAAAAATGCCATTATAGCAACTATGTGGTGAGAGCTTACACCGAAATGTCAGTTCCCTGAAAATGCCCTCAGAATACCCGAAGCCCTACCATAATTGCAGTGAAAAAGCCGCAAAGCATCCGGGCCAAGAAAATCAGCTGCCATCTGAACGGTTAAGCAATCAATCAATTCAGCAACGGCCGACGATGATGAGTGTTCGGGCACGCCACAGAAGCATGACGAGCGGTGATGAGTCTTCACCGACCACCAATCAGACAGCCTGGATTCAAGGTCGAAAAATTAGTTTTAAATATCGCGATGCCCCGTGTAACTTTTGCACTCGCCTTTCCGCAACTAACTTATTGTGTTCCTTGTTGGGGTGTATGTCCTTTTCTGGCACTGGAAAGTGAAAAGTAGTCAGTAGAGCGGTAGAGCACAAACATACTCTTATTATTTTTGATAGTCTTTCTTGATTTGGTTATGTAACCGTTGCCAAAGTTAGACCAAACCTTTTGTCTGTGAGTTCTTACCTGATTAGCTAAGCAGCATGTGGACGTAAACGATAGTCTGTCACTTCGTTAAACAGTTAATTTTGGTTAGTTTTGGTTACCCGCTGAATATGGCTGGACAAGACACGTCGATCAGAGCATACCACACCTGCGTTACCAGAGACATATTGGCAGATAAAGGCACATCCAGACACACGCACTCTCTGCTGAGCTGTTGTGAGGGTGATTGCGGAATGTCCACGCGGTGCGAAGAACTGTTCCCAAAACGTTTTGCTTCGACGTCTCTTATCACAAATTCAATCAACGTTGGAGCCTAACCTAATTACTGCAGGTGACCGGCTGAGAAAAGCCGGGCAAATCGATGACGTCGCTAAACTGTAATATGAGTGTCCGGCGGTTGTTTCATTGTTCAATCAGGTTCAAATATTTCGGCGTTTGATATAATTCAAACCAAGGGAACGAACTGTCTGGTACGTGGAAAATGAATCAGCTGCATGTATGGACTATTGAACCAGGGCTTTTGAAATTCATCAGCTTAGTGCAGAGAGATAGAGGCGATCAATAATTCTTCAACGTTCAACTCGCTACTAGCCGGAGTTTACGTACATCGGTGTACTCTGATCCAAAAGTTTGTGCAAAAAGACTCTAGACGCGTGAAAAAGTTGGCTTTAGTTGACAGGGCTGGCTCTGACGTTAAATGGGATACTCACGGAATTAGCACTTCATACTCAAAACACTATGTCATTTTATTGAACTCTAAATGTGACTTTTGCCTTTAACGGTGGTTGATGTTCCTTTGAGCTTAGTTAGTGTTTAGCCATCCTGCACGTCGCCTTTCACACATGTTTTATCAATAAACCTGAGGAGTGTGACGAGATCAATGAAGACCCCAGAACTGTCAGTACGCGTCCAGACATGAAAAAAAGCACATGTGCAGAGAGTGACGCATCCTCAAGGTCACCATCGGTACGACACGTTCGGAAAGCAGGTGCGTTGGCAGAGCTCACCAAACACGGCTTAGCAGCCTAAGACCAGTGGAGTGGACCTGAAATTGTTCAGGACCGGAACACCACCATTCGCTGTACAGAACTAACAAGTGAACGATCATATTTGGCCATTTAGTCATCCTATATATTTACACAGAAGCTCTGTATGTTTTGTCCTGACAATACAGCCGTGTCCACAGTTCTCTGTCTTCTCCTTGTCGCGTAGTCTGGCAAGCTCAGTGCAGGCGTAACCAATAGACCGCCAGTCACGATACAACAGTAACGTTCATGCGAACACCAGATGACACGTTGATTTGTCTGGATGTAAGCGAGGAATACGGTAGCCAATGAAATGCTTCCCGCAAGAGGCAAACGCTTCGACTGAACTCTTCAAGAGCCGACTCATCGCTCCGACACTCCTGGGGCTCATCACAAAACAATCGATTCATCTCTAATCCAGATGGAACTCCCAAGTTAACTTGTCAATGAATTCATTTATTGCCTGCATGCGATTTGGTCTTTAATTAGAACGTAAATTTGACGCAAAGTCAGGGAATGCGGCCATCACATGAAGGGCGAAACCGGTCGTGGCTTTCACCAATCCAATGCGCAGTCTGTTCCCTCAATAAGACACATAACAATACCTCGAATGCCGTAGCAACTGAAACATGAGGCGGCCGGTGTGTGGTGCATTTAGTTGAAGAATACTATAAGCGGAAGGTTAAATTGAGATTTACTCGAGTCTCCCATTTAAAACAAGTTGTACTTCCGTAAGAGATAAGCGACTTTTGAAAGATGTATGGATACCCAAATAGATCTATTTAATTTTCCCAGACACTGATAAAGAACGTTTCTTTAGATATGGCCAGGAAATATTTTCTGGCTCGTCGTCACATCAAAATATGTGGAAACTAGAAAGCTGAACTGTGACACTTGCGATACCTTAATCAAACCCAACTGTCAGGTATAAACTGCAGCGTAACTCGCAAGAAATTCGTGGAGCTTCGTGACCAACGATGATCAATAAAGATGAAACGGCCGTAAAGAGCTACTCTGGCTGAGATTTCCAGATCGCTTAACCATGAAGCCGATTTAAGGCAGTCCAGCAACCACCTGTTCGCCCCTTTGCTTTTAAAGACAAGAACTGGATCTCACTATTTACGGAGAACGATTTCGCGCCAATGTTGTCGCATTTAGAAGTAACACACTACTCATGAGGTTGCCAAAAACTCTGTGAAGTGTTATCGTCGGTCACGGGCTAACGAAGAATTTTCAGCAACCCTAAGAGTAGTGTATTACGTCTAGACAATGTATTGGGAAATCGCATATGTCGGGCCAACTGTAACATGACGTACCGTCGTGTAACAGCGGAGGCAGACCATCAGAAACGAGAGATTTAGCTGGATTCACTCGAGTCCTCTGTCAGTTTCATTTGGCACGGTGTTCGAATTAGTGCAATGCGTTTTTGTGTAGACCTAACGCACTACTCATAAGGCCGCTAAAAACTATTCGGCATCTCATGATCAGTTTCGCCCTTCTTGAGGCTAGCCTGCTAGACGCGGTCCGCAAATTTCTGTTAACCTCAACTCAACTTGAACAGACTCATTTGCGGCAGACTCAAGGGAATTCAGTTAAATCTTTCTTTTGTGACGGTTCGCTTCAGTGAGTTTTCAGCAACTTTGTGAGCAGTGCGTTACGTCCAGACAACATACTGCATTATCTCAAATGTCGGACCAACTGAAACGTGAGGTGGCCTGGTGCAGCAAATTCACTCGAGATGGACCATCCAAAAACGAAAGATTCAACTGGATTCAACCAGGTCTCCTGTCGAAACCGATTTGGGAGCGATAAGCTTTCTTTCAAAAACACCAAACCTCAGATTATCGCAACCAGCAGGAAATAACATTGGATATTCCAGATGTATACAGGAGTAAGGTCACACAAAACAAATAGACTGTTCCCAACTGCCACATGTGTGTATGTTCCCGATATGACCGTAGCTTCAGGTATTGTTTTGTGTCACTAACGCTTATTTTTGAAGAGATTGGTCACAGACACGAAAGTAAATGCAGGCGATGAATGTGGAAGGGTTACAGGAGAGTATGAGGTAAAAAAAGAGAGAAACGTATCATTCGAAGTCCTGCCACCAACGGTTCAAGTCAGATAAGATTATGGAGGCCGAAGACCGAAGAAAGGATGAACAGTGTGAATGCTCTTCAAGGCGCGGTGAGCGCTAGCACAGTCAAGACTCGCACATCAGGCACAAGGGGTCCGTCATACTGGGTCTGGTGTGAGATTCAACGGCAAGAACGTACACTCAAAGCCATGTGCCGCGCAAAAAAGTTCACAAGTACGCAGACAGCCCAGAACAGCATTCGCCAGGATTTCTCCCTGACCTGAATTTAGAACATTCGAAGCTACAGTGCGTTTTATTGGGGGGACGATCGGTGTTGCCATTTTTGAATTTCCAGCCGGGTACCTCCCACGTGTCCACGTAATCCTTTTTGTTCCCCCTTGAAAGTAAAATGGCATGCGATTCACCCAAAGGACACAGGATAACAGTGTCAAGGATTTTGACTTTTTCTGGTGTCACAGTGCTTGAGGAAAGCAGAAGAAACGAGCCAAGGATGATGATTGCCCCATCCGAAGTCCAGTTCATGGCGAAAGGCCAAGAAACAGCGTACAGCAGTCTGTTGCTTGCCGAGAATCGCCAGCATCTCACGCCTGACGTCTCCTGGCTGGTAGTTCAACACCAGACCGTCCGGACACGAGCGACTGATCAGCACTGTGATCAACTCAAACTGAAACGGCATGCAGTAGCACTCGTTTTTCAATCACAAAATTCGCATGACGTGATCACGTGTCTACTGCTTCCTCGAGTGATGACTACTCAACTGAAGAGTTTGGTTGTTCTCTAGAGGATTATTG